TCTCTGTGGAACGAGAAGATGAGGAATAGAGGAGTGCCTTAGGCTTTAGTTGAGCTTTTACGGCTTTGCAACTGCTTAAGGTCATATGAGCGCCAAAGGGTAGATGTCAACAGAGAAGTCCTTACAGGGAATCAGACTTACTCTGGTCACCTCTTTAGCTTCAACAGCACAAAGTATGCTTCAACTATCAAGGCACCCCGGAAATAGCAGGTCACAAGAGAGTGACAAACATACAAAAGAAGGAGAAGAAAAATGACGATAGTCAGGATTAGGAAAGAAAAAGCAGCAGTTCTCTGTTGCAGTTCAAGCACAGTTATGAGCATGACATTGATGAATCAGCCCATTTACAATTACAGCCAAACCTTCCCTGACAGCCACCTCTATAAGACGGCCACCTGTACAAACGGCATCTTTCCATTCCCCCCTTGCTTTTTTTTTTCTATATAATTTAACTGTGTAAAACAGGCACCTGTCCAACGCGGCTGCGGCCACCATATTTTAACACACAACCCCTATCACACTAAGCAATAACACCTGTCTTAGACGGCCACATTAGTGACTCCATTACATTTTGTCATAAAATATTGTGGACTGGCCCCTGGCGTTGCGGGCGAGCCGTCATAATCCAATCCCTTGTCGTTGTTGTCAGATAGTCCCTCCAACCGATCATGTTGCGTAGGCCCCTCCCACTGTTGACCAATAGGTACCAATTTTCAACTGCTGGTGAGGTAAGCATGTGATCCCTCATAACCCATAAGCCCCGCCCAGAACTCATACTCAAATCGTACGTGAGAAGAGTGGTCACTGTTTACCCAGTCTGTAACAAAGTAACAGTGGACGCGAACATGAACTTGTGACAAAAGCGTCACTCGTTCTCCGAGTGGTGGCGACCCATGCGTTTGTTTTAACATGGCACTCGGTCTTCCTCGTCTGATACATTTTGTTTTATTGTCACTCTTGCGCAAAATCAGCAACAAAATAAAAATAACAAACAAAATACAAACTAACAACAACAAAAACAACAAAAACAAGAATAATGCGTCTACTTTCGATTGGGACTTCAGATGGGAAAATTTGTTTTCTTCATCTTGATCAGTCCTGCCTAAGACGGCCATCTGTCTTATACGGCCATTTTCCTCCTTGACAATGGGTGGCCGTCTTACACAGGTTTGACTGTACCATTCTACTGTGCACAAGACCTCGAGATGTTAATGCCCCCCCCCCCCGTTTAGGAAAGGCCTATAGACACTTCAGTCAGTAGCACCTCCCCCGGGAGGTTATAGAGGAGTGTATTAAAGGTGGGATGAGCTGCTTTTAAAAAAAGGTAAAATGCGTATAAATTATCCAAATTCTGCCACCCTCATTTACCCTCATGTTTGACGAGCACCTGAGTATACCATGATGCCTCAAATGTGATTTAATTTTAGAAAGCAAATATTATTATGCTGTTCATACACATATTGTCCCCCCCCCCCCAACCTCGCCACTCCAGCGACAGCTCTTGCATCCCCTCCTCCCTCCCCGTCCCAACCCACGATCGATTAAAATGGTATGCAGCAGCCAATCAACATGACTACGGCAAAATTACTACCAGTAGAATAGAAAAACAACGAAAGAAGTGGATAGAGCAGACCACACTAGAAAACCCACAAGCATTCACTTGAAGGAAAAAGGAAAGAATTAAAAAGATCACTTTTAAGCACAAGGTGGTAATCCCGAAAAACTCTGTTTTGAGAAAATCGAAGGTAAAGTTTTTACCCTTTGTTCATTTTCTTCAAAAGACAGAAAGAGTTTTCTCTATAACCAAAAAAATATACACACCAATAAAACCAAACCTTCTCCTATAGGTAGGGCAAAGCCCACTTTTGGTGTAGGTTAAGATTTCTGGAAACCCGCAAAATCTGGGTCCTTTGAAAGCGACCAAATAGGTTCACTTGTTATGTATTTGTCGCAGTTGTTCAGAACAACAGAAGGGCTGAACAAATGGAATGTCTCTCTCTTTGTCTTACGTCAAAGCGCAAGAAAGACAAAGGGACAATTATATATATATTTGGAAAGGAACTGGGAGAGGGGGTGAGGGGAGTGTGTGTGGGAGGGGGGTATTGCGCGTGTGTCCACTCTGGGATGCTAGCTGAGCGTTCTCGGTAAGATCAAAACGGGAGAATACTTTTCGAAAGAAATTCACGCAGAGACGTCCAGACGGTCTTGGAAGGAGATGGCCGTGAAATGTGAGTGCAGGGCGAAGGTTGATGATATTCTAGAGCTCGTGGGGAGTTGGGTGGGGGTTTAAATTGTTCATTAAAAAGCGATGTGCCTGCCATGGCGCGTTGAGGGCAAGAAGCACCTTCTCACCCCCCCCCCTCCTCTTCCTCCCCCCCCCCCCCACTTCCACCTTAAAAAATGTCGAAGAAAGTGACACCTTTGCCACAAGCCCTAGTGTCTTAACCTCTTGGTCCTTAACTTCTCTTCATCATCATCACCCAGTGCCAGATCTGCGACAGACATCGGCGATTATGGTTCTCCTTTCATTCCTTTGCTCGGGTGCTCGTCTTAAAAAGGTTACGTTCCCCTGATCGTTCCCTGTTATTCAATTGGTTTAGGTTCCCTAAGTAGGTTGATCTGGGCCTACCTCTGCCTCGTTTGCCTGCAATTTTGCCAGTGAAAGCTTGATGTTCAAGACCTTTATGTCTCATCGTAAGAGAGACAAAAGATGACATTGCAAGCTGCTGCCTGAGACACGGCATGCAATTTGTGGGTCATCGTGGTAAAACCAGGCGCTCGACAAAACAAGCAAAGCAACAGGCCTTTTTCCTTCAGTTTGACTTTTTTTCTTTTTTTTTTTGATAGAACACTTTTTATGTCCATGAGAAAACATATTTCCGTGTGAATTTAACTGAAAAACGTCGCTTAATGGCAAAAAAATGTAAATTTTCAGTTTTCAGGGACTCTCAAGGTATAGAAGTTACCAAACTTTGTTAGTCATTTTCTCGCTAATTTTACCTCTGAAACCATGCAACCACCACCTCCTTCAATCCTTCTATTCCAGATAGATGGGTGTTCTTTTCATAGTGTGCAAAGCAACTGAATGATGATTCCACATGCCCAAAAATTAACAAGCGCCTGATTCCACCACGTCATGACACATGTTGTTGAACACGCAGACTTCTGTAGTTTGAAATGCTATTTTTGCCAGAAATTATCCTGTTGTGCGTGGCCCTCTGGGGAGATTATTTTCACGCCTGTTTCCAAAAAAAAAAGACAAAACAAAAAGCGGCACCTTGCAAAAATAACTGACATGGACTTTAGTTAGGAGATAAACTTGACAAAAAGTATGCAAGACATTGGAGTAAGTTGAGCTTTTTTTGCCTTGAAATTGATGATCGCTGACTCGCATGATACGTTTTTTTGTTAAATGTTAAAGGTAAACAGTCAAAAACAGAGGTCACACCTTTAGTCCGTACAAAAAAGAGAGATAGATTGTTGTATTTTTATACGTTTTTAGGTTCTATTTCTAGGTTTGAAGATGACTAAAATGTTCAAGAACATCAGTGATGTTATAACGCACATTGTTGACTACGACTAAAGC